CCCCCGAAATGTGCCAGCAAATACCTGTTTTGTGTGATGCTGCGGGTGCTCAAATACTTCACGTGTCGTTATGTGCTCATTAATGCTTCTTCCTTACACAGGACAAAATGTGCGGAATTTCTGATTTAGAAACTCAATTTCCACTTGAAGTTCGGCACATCTCAACAGCGTGATCAAATTTCAGAAGATAGTAATCATGGCAATACTGATTTTTGTGCAGCAACTATTTGAAGTTTGATGCAACGACAGTCTGTGTTTGAGCCAGCTATTTCGGCGACTCTGGATCTCTTGCCCTTGAAATTTTCAAACTTCTGCATGTTTATTGGAAAAATTTAAAAACCTGTGTGTTGTCTGAATGTAAAAGGAGACATGTATTATCTGCACTGTTTTTTGGTGACATACATTTGTACATTAGTTGCTGGCGTAGTTCCGCAAATGACAACACCAGCAGCACTAAAAATGATTTCCAGCGGTAAAAGAACGCCATCACTATATCCGCCGGTATTAAAGGTCAGCACTAATTCTTTTTTCCATTATTTATTCATCTGTCTTACAAGCGCGTCATTTTTTAAACGAATTATTAGGATAGAAGATTAAGGATCAGTTTGCAACGAAAACTTGTTAGGATGCAGTCTGTATTTCATCCTTTCGCTGTAAACACACACTGAACGCAACATGCGTGTAGAAACAGGGCCATTCATAATATTTGGCAATGTTCAGTCACCTACAAGGAAAATGAAAAATTTACTTCAAAAACAAAGCGTAGTTGTGCAGGAATTAAATTACTTTATTAACGCGTTTTACGGTGTCAGTACTTTGCCAGCTTCGCATCAGCCACCTTGCCACACCAGTATAATGCCGACTCGCTTCAGCACTAACCACTCATTTAGAAACTGATTAATAAACAATAATGAATTGCAGGTTACGTCGAATGAAGGCTACATAGTGGAATCTGCAGAGATGGGTACCACAGTGCGGGTTTCCCCTTCACGTTTTTCCAGTTCACTCCAAATTGTCGTTCACGACGGAGACTTGGTGAGGAACTTTACTCACCACCCTTATTTTTCAAACTTCTAACCTTTGTTTGAATGAGTGAAATTCCAAAAAAAATAAATTGCTTAAACTCTTGTTTTGAGAGAATTCTAGGAAATCATAACAGTTTGCATTTTGCGGTTCAGTCTTTGTAGCTCAGCTCGCATTTTTGAAAGTCGCCGCCTGTCTACTTCCTCCTCATTTGTTTTTGTTTACAGAAGCCCGGAATGCCTCCAGCTGTGTATGAATATATTTTGACCGGTGTGGGCTCGTCCCTATTCGCCGTCGACCAGCGAGGTTATGTTTATCTGAATGCACCGCATATTGATGCTGACCCTCCGAATCCGACAGCCTATCAGCTGAATGTAAGCAGCTTTGTTAATCTGTCAGCGCATCTAAAATGCGTCAGTGACTTTACGATTGTCGGACCACGTGAGGAGGACTTATCGGGGACAGCGTTTAATAAGAGAAAAAAAAAAATGACGAGATTTTCCGCTAATTTATCCTAGGGAAGGTAGAAGCACGCGAAGTGTGCCAAAAGTAACTGCTGCACTGCTAATGATGGTTTTCTGTTCAGGGCACTGCTCAGGTATGATTTGATAACCATGTGCCAGTATCAGTCCCTCATCAAGAAA